GACTAGCCAGGCAGACATATACACAATGGTAAACAATGGACTAGCCAGGAAGACATATACCTAATGGTAAACAATGGACTAGACAGGCAGACATATACCCAACGGTAAACAATGGACTAGCCAGGCAGACATATCCCCAATGATAAGCAATGGACTTGCCAGGCAGACATATACTTAATGGTAAACAATGGACTAACCAGGCAGACATATACCCAATGATAAGCAATGGACTTGCCAGGCAGACATATACTTAATGGTAAACAATGGACTAACCAGGCAGACATATACCCAATGATAAGCAATGGACTTGCCAGGATATATCCAATGGTAAACAATGGACTAGCCAGACAGACATATACCTAATGTTAGGCAATGGACTAGCCAGACAGACATATACCTAATGTTAGGCAATGGACTAGCCAGACAGACATATACCTAATGTTAGGCAATGGACTAGCCAGACAGACATATACCTAATGTTAGGCAATGGACTAGCCAGACAGACATATACCTAATGTTAGGCAATGGACTAGCCAGACAGACATATACCTAATGTTAGGCAATGGACTAGCCAGGAAGACATATAACTAATGGTAAACATTGGACTAGCCAGGCAGACATATACCCAATGATAAGCAATGGACTTGCCAGGCAGACATATACTTAATGGTAAACAATGGACTAACCAGGCAGACATATACCCAATGATTAACAATGGACTAGCCAGGTAGACATATACCCAATGGTAAACAATGGACTATCCAGGCAGACATACACCTAATGGTAAACAATGGACTATGGACTAGTCAGGCAGACATACACCTAATGGTAAACAATGGACTAGCCAGGCGACATATACCCAATGGTAAACAATGGACTAGACATATACCTAATGGTAAACAATGGACTAGCCAGGAAGACATATACCCAATGGTAAACAATGGACTAGTCAGGCAGACATACACCTAATGGTAAACAATGGACTATGGACTAGTCAGGCAGACATACACCTAATGGTAAACAATGGACTATGGACTAGTCAGGCAGACATACACCTAATGGTAAACAATGGACTAGCCAGGCGACATATACCCAATGGTAAACAATGGACTAGTCAGGCAGACATACACCTAATGGTAAACAATGGACTATGGACTAGTCAGGCAGACATACACCTAATGGTAAACAATGGACTAGCCAGGCGACATATACCCAATGGTAAACAATGGACTAGACATATACCTAATGGTAAACAATGGACTAGACAGGCAGACATATACCCAATGATAAACAATGGACTAGCCAGGTAGACATATACCCAATGGTAAACAATGGACTGGCCAGGCAGACATATACCCAATGATAAGCAATGGACTTGCCAGGCATACATATACCTAATGGTAAACAATGGACTAACCAGGCAGACATATACCCAATGATAAGCAATGGACTTGCCAGGCAGACATATACTTAATGGTAAACAATGGACTAACCAGGCAGACATATACCCAATGATTAACAATGGACTAGCCAGGTAGACATATACCCAATGGTAAACAATGGACTAGCCATGCAGACATATACCTAATGGTAAACAATGGACCTAATGGGAAACAATGGACTAGGCAGGCAGACATATACCTAATGGTAAACAATGTACTAGCCAGGCAGACATATACACAATGGTAAACAATGGACTAGCCAGGAAGACATATACCTAATGGTAAACAATGGACTAGGCAGGCAGGCATATACCTAATGGTAAACAATGGACTAGCCAGCCAGACATATACCTAATGGTAAACAATGGACTAGACAGGCAGACATATACCCAATGTGAAACAATGGACTAGCCAGGCAGACATATACAGTACCCAATGGTAAACAATGGACTAGCCAGGCAGGCATATACCTAATGGTAAACAATGGACTAGCCAGGAAGACATATACCTAATGGTAAACAATGGACTAGTCAGGCAGACATACACCTAATGGTAAACAATGGACTAGCCAGGCGACATATACCCAATGGTAAACAATGGACTAGACATATACCTAATGGTAAACAATGGACTAGACAGGCAGACATATACACAATGGTAAACAATGGACTAGCCAGGAAGACATATACCCAATGGTAAACAATGGACTAGTCAGGCAGACATACACATAATGGGAAACAATGGACTAGCCAGGCAGACATATACACAATGGTAAACAATGGACTAGACAGGCAGACATATACCCAACGGTAAACAATGGAATAGACAGGCAGACATATACCCAATGGTAAACAATGGACTATCCAGGCAGACATACACCTAATGGTAAACAATGGACTATGGACTAGTCAGGCAGACATACACCTAATGGTAAACAATGGACTAGCCAGGCGACATATACCCAATGGTAAACAATGGACTAGACATATACCTAATGGTAAACAATGGACTAGGCAGGCAGGCATATACCTAATGGTAAACAATGGACTAGCCAGCCAGACATATACCTAATGGTAAACAATGGACTAGACAGGCAGACATATACCCAAAGGTAAACAATGGACTAGCCAGGCAGACATATCCCCAATGATAAGCAATGGACTTGCCAGGCAGACATATACTTAATGGTAAACAATGGACTAACCAGGCAGACATATACCCAATGGTAAAACAAGGGACTAGCCAGACAGACATATACCCTATGGTAAACAATGGACTAGCCAGGCAGACATATACCCAATGATAAGCAATGGACTTGCCAGGCAGACATATACCTAATGGTAAACAATGGACTAACCAGGCAGACATACACGGTACATAATGGTAAACAATTGATCAACCAGGAAAATATATACAGTACCTAACGGTAAACATTGGACTAGCCAGGCAGACATATATCTAATGGTTAACAATGGACTAGCCAGACAGACATATACAGTACCTAATGCTAAACGACATATACCCAATGGTAAACAAGGGACTATCCAGGCAGACATACACCTAATGGTAAACAATGGACTAGCCAGGCGACATATACCCAATGGTAAACAATAGACTAGCCAGACAGACATATACAGTACCTAATGCTAAACAATGGACTAGCCAGGCAGACATGTACCCAATAGTAAACAATGGACTAGACAGACACACATATACCTAATGGTAAACAATGGACTAGCCAGGCAGACATATACCCAATGGTAAACAATGGACTAGCCAGGCAGACATACACATAATGGTAAACGATGGACTAGCCAGGCAGACATATACAGTACCTAATGGTAAACAAAGGACTAGCCAGGCAGACATACCAATGGTAAACAATGGACTAGCCAGGCAGATATATACCTAATGGTTAACAATGGACTAGTCAGGCAGACATACACATAATGGTAAACAATGGACTAGCCAGGCAGATATATACCTAATGGTTAACAATGGACTAGTCAGGCAGACATACACCTAATGGTAAACAATAGACTTGCCAGGCAGACATATACAGTACCTAATGGTAAACAAAGGACTAGCCAGGCAGACATATACCTAATGGTAAACATTGGGCTAGCCAGGCAGACATATACCTAATGGTAAACAATGGACTAGCCATGCAGACATATATCTAATAGTAAACAATGGATTAGCCAGGCAGACATATACAGTACCTAATGGTAAACATTGGACTAGCCAGGCAGACACATACAGTACCTAATGGTAAACAATGGACTAGCCAGGCAGACATATACCTAATGGTAAACATTGGACTAGCCAGGCAGACATATACCCAATGATAAACAATGGACTAGCCAGGTAGACATATACCCAATGGTAAACAATGGACTAGCCAGGCAGACATACACGGTACCTAATGGTAAACAATTGATCAACCAGGAAAATATATACAGTACCTAATGGTAAACATCGGACTACCCAGGCAGACATATACAGTACCCAACGGTAAACATTGGACTATCCAGGCAGACATACAACCAATGGTAAACGATGGACCAGCCAGGCAGACATAAACCCAATGGTAAACAATGAACTAGCCAGGCATACATATACCTAATGGTAAGCAATGGCCTAACCAGGCAGACATATACCGGATGGGAAACAATGGACCTGCCAGGCAGACATATCCCCAATGATAAACAATGGACTAGCCAGGAAGACATATACCGAATGGAAAACAATGGACTAGCCATGCAGACATATATCTAATAGTAAACAATGGACTAGCCAGGCAGACATATACCGAATGGTTACCAGTGCTAGCATAAAGGTCTCCTCTGTTATAAAACAAGAATATGCTGTGTCTTAGTTTTTTTTATTGAAATTGGCAAATACCTTTTTTATGGATTGATGTAATTTACACAAGGTTTGAAATCACATTGGTGGAACTTTCATTTAAACCCTGGGTCATTAACAGAAACACACTACCATTTTTGATAGTTTTGAAATAAAGCAAATTACTTCACCGGCCGAACTTATGGAACGGGTATTGACTTTACAATTAAATTTATAGAAATTATTGTTTGCCTGCTTGAAATTACCAAACACCTCATCTACCTCTAATGAAGAAACAATTAGAATTACATCCGGGATTATCGTGTTATAATTAAATTCAATGGCAGGAGAACTTTCTAAAATATGTGAAGTTTTCACCGGTAGTAGATGTTTATATCCTGTTTGAAAATAATACACTTCCTCGCAATAAACAGATAATGAACTATTTTAAGAAAACGCTCATGGCAGCGGTTTTCTCTTTAAAAACGTTGTTTGCCGAAACTAAAATTGTTTAACGATAATACTTGTTAAAAGCAATCTTTGAACAGAATCCTTTACGTCGCAATCCTCGCTATACAAAACGTTCTGTTGAAGTCTTGAAGATAACTATCTTTTTTCTACATGTTTTTGCGGAAAAACACAGTCTTCTTATCAAGCTCCGTGATGAGTGTTTATCGTAGTCCCAACGGGGCGAAAACCTTTCAGTAAAAACTTACATAATATCCACAGTGCCCGCTTTACTTCGTAAGTAGAGAACTTCGAAAACGCACATCTATTTAAACTTTTATTTATGAAATTACAAGTAAACCATACTCGTTTTTTTAATAGCAGCGACGTAAAAAGGTCCCAGCATCGTATTCAAGTAGCACTTTATCAGCTTTCCTGATATTACCCTCCGTCGATGTTCATCAGCCTAGCATTGACTCAAGTTCTCATATATGTTAGGCCATCCCATAATATCTGAATACAGCTGCTATAGCAGACAGCTCAGCATCAGCAGCCTAGCGTGGACAAGGATAACGCAGAGGAGAAAGACGTCTTACTTTTGCCGCCAATCTGCACAAGTGAATGCGTGTTTATATATACCAGTATATATGTAGATTTATATATACACACGATTGCAAACTAAATGACTGTTTAAAAATAGAAGTTACAGAGTGAGACCTTGGATGTGTTGGAGTATTTAGGACTAAGAAAAGGTATGTTTCTCCCGTTACCTCATTATGTTTCATGTGTTTGGTAATTAATGCATTTATTCTCAACTCATTAACGTTATTACTATCAATTGTATTTGTTAATACCTTAAATGTTAACAAACATAATCGCATGCAAATTTGCTTATTCTAGTTTTCAGCGATTTTTACTTTGGGGAAAACTAATTGAGACTTACTGAAAAAGTACAACGCAAGCGTTGATTAAGGGCATACGGATAATTACCCTTTTTGTGTTATCGAGATTTGGTTGAAACGGATATCTTATTCTTATCCGCTGACTGCGTCTGCCGGTATGGAATCTTATCATCGAAACTGTTGGAATCACCTGTTTCCCTATATCTGTCAGAAAAGTGCAAAACCTACTATGAAACAGCCTTGAAAATTCATGTTGCTGGATAGCATTGCGATGCCTTTAGACCGTTCAATATTTATAAAATCATAAATGGTTTTCAAGTTTTGACATCTAAACAATACGGACAATAGGGATGCTTTGCTGTGCTATTTAAGTTAGTCATATTTGGCAGACACGTTGCCTTAAAGTGTTACGTATTCATAAACTAGCTTCATCCTGTCATACACTTCTCGTTGCATTTTTATCTAAGGGTTTGACATTCAAATAACTGTTGGAAAAGTTTGGTTTTGTTCGTGAAACTATGACGTAATGGAATCAACTATCGTCTTGAGACACCCTTAAATATGCGCGCGGTATCATATTTACATTAAAACTTGGCATCGACATAATAAACCGATTGTGATCTTATCCCCTTTTGCGAACAACTGGTTTAAATGAATATTCATGAGGCTTAAGTACGCAATTTCCAAAATCTTCAAATTTGGATAACCTCATGAGAGGATAATGCTATTTATATAAACTCCCAAGCTTCTACGATCTGTATCTTTTAAAAATGAGTCATTTTCAAAGAATTCCACTTTTGAGAAATATTAAGGTTTTTTAAAGGATGCACTTCATCAGCTATATCTGTTATGTTAAGTGAGATCAGTTACAAACACAATTTCAATCTTACCACACACGTAATAATTAATACTAATTAATGCTATCTGCGTTATCTGTGAGTACATGATTTAAAGTTCTTTGTCAATGTACGGTCATATCAAATATTGAGTCATAATTTCCTGTAATCAGTTTTTAGATAGACACTCGATTTAAACGGGAAACATAGAAGAATGGTATATGCAGTTAACTTGTCTAGCTTACACGTCATTGTACAAATAAGGTTTGGCTTGATGAAATGTCGGTCTGGGTTTGATTGGAGAAATCACGTGACGGCGTTAAAATAGAAACGGACATGTCAAATCCATGTTTACCGGCAGAGCTACAGCTGGTGACCCACATTGTGATAGGTATGACCAGCAGGTTCTAAACCTCTGACCTATGATTACATCATGTTGCTACCTCTGACCTACAACAAATATTACCTTTGACCTTTGTATGCATATTTTGCCGTGCGCTAAAAAAAAATGGGTACAGACAGTCAGACGGAGAGACTCGCTGCGTACGTACGCTTCATTCTAACAGCGCTTTCGACAAGTCCAATTTTTTATTGAAAATATATGGCACCAGAGATAATGATCTTAGACCTAAAGCTTGACCGGGCGTGTTACAGTGTTAAGGTAAAGGGCCGGAGGAGGTACAGCTGGGGATGAAGTTTTGCCACCAAATTGTGGACTTTGTCCAATATTGATATAGGCCAATTTCTCAGTGTCCAGTAGATAAAAAGAAAAAGCTAAAAGGAGACACTGAAACAACCGAGAGCTGTAAAACATGAGCGCATTCTGTTTCATCTATTAGAAGTTTTGCATACTTACTATTGTTATGTCATCAATAATGCTTGAATACTCTCAATCGTTACGTCATCAATACTATTAACACAAAATGACGTCATAATGATACCGGAGATTATCTTTAAGGCAAATACATATCAAATAAGACTGTTTAGTTTCGGTTTCTATGTTTTCATGAAAATACTTTTCCTTTTTTTGTGGTAGGGTCTTCAAGGTATACTTTTTAAAATCGTTATTTACAAAGCACTTCTTTTCAGACTTCTTAGCCGGTATTATGGAAAGTTTAATTCTTGTTGTTACTGGTTTCGCCGACGTAAAATGTCTGACAACTCGGGCACGTGAATACATGTACGAGTTTTGTAAGATTACATGACATACTTGATATTGAATGTTCCTGCCCTAACAAATGTAACTACCACAGTGTAAATCTGAACCCCTTGACCCTTTGCATTAGTATTTTGATTTGCACACGACATATTTCAAACTTCTCGGTTGGCTTTTACTCTTTATGAATTTTGTTTATGCAAATATGTCCTTGTTTTTATCTCCTTTCATTATTTTGTTTATGTTTTCCACTTTTCGACTTAAGCTCTTATTTCGTGGATTATGAGACAAATGGTATGATTAATGATTCTGTATTTTCTCTTTCCATCGACTGCAACATATTTTTCTATCCAGTTCTACAACCCTTGTATTAATCTGTCTGTTTATTTTCACGATGGAGTATTGTTGTAGACTCGATTATGTTCTCAATCCATCATGACCTTCATATTTTTTCCTCGATAGCTATGGTGACGAATCCTTTTGCTACATGTAGGCTGTCGGGTTGGCAAGGTAGGGGATGGTAATGTTTCTACGTAACCTCTAAGGCACACACGAGAGAATTCAAATTGCCGTTTTTTCTGCGCATTGCTACATTCCAGAACAATCGGAGTGTCAACCGGTAAATATTAAATATGTTTACCTCTCATTTGACTGGAACCGAATACAAATGTGTAGTTATTGAAAATGAGCGAACGTCGTGTTGATACTGAAGGGTGATAGACGCTGTCATACGGTTTCAGGTTTATGACGTAAATGCTTACCCGTTAGGGACACATACACTAGCTCTGACAGGTATATGTCTTGCTGATTTACCGAACATTTTCACACCAAAGAAATTTGTGACAATTTCTATTACAAAGTCAAGCTTGTTCGACAGACAATAAAACATATAACATGTGCCAATATGTATCACGAGTCCCTTGGCCATACCGTAAACTACCAATGTAAAACACGAGTCCCTTGGCCATACCGTAAACTACCAATGTAAAACACGAGTCCCTTGGCCATACCGTAAACTACCTATGTAAAACACGAGTCCCTTGGCCATACCGTAAACTACCAATGTAAAACACATTATATTTTGAGTACAGCATGTTGAAATGCACATCAAAAGGGAAATAAATATCAATTGTGTAAATCGCACTTGCTCCGAGTCATTATTTATTCATCACTGGATTCGGTACTCAGGAGCTTGCTCTGAAGATCATGACTTCCGTGATAGATGCCGACGACTTTATCTTTATTGGCGAACCATGAATCCCAACTTTTGTATGTTTACAGCAGTGTTATTAACCCTTGATCATAATGTGATTACCAAATTCCTTGCCGTAAAGTATGATGGTCTATCAACAAATATAATCATTTAAGGATGTGCCAGGTTATTGTAGTGGAGGAAAACTGGAGTGTCCCCGGAGAAAAAAACCCAACGACATACGGAAAATACCTGGCGATTGCCCCACGAAGGCCTCAAACGCGCGAGCCACAGGTGTTGGGCTAGTGACCTTAGACGGTCAGACGGTCAGACGGCGCGCCATAACCACTCGGCAACCGCCAACCTGCAATGATGTAGAAACTAAAACTTAATTGGCAAGATTAACAGTGGGGTGGAGATTCATGAGCTAGCTCCGAATACCACGACTTTCGTCATGGGTGTCGACCGTTGTCAGACATACTTACAACCCAGGGATACAGGTTGTAGGTTGGTGACGACTATGGCCAAGTTTTATCGTCGCCGTTAGGACATTATTGGGAAACATGATATATCTTTGTAAATGTCTATGGTTCTGATTGTGTTCATGAGAGCGCCTCGTGGTTCTGTCGTCACTACCCGCGTTCTCAATGTGAGGACTTGTCAGCACATGTACTTTGATATTACCTAAATTTACATGCCGGTTGTGGTCGGTGAAGCAGAAGACGTTTACCCTTTCGGAACACTTGTCTCCATTTTGGACCATCGATATTGTGTTAGAGTTACACTTAATATTGACACTTCTGCTATACGTTCATTATGGGACTCGCGCATATTGATAGGAGGTCACATCCCGATTACACCAAACATGAGATGTAAATGATATTCCCCTACTTTAAGGGTAAGAGAGAGCAATTTCCTCCTGAGGAGACGATTATTTGTTGTCTAATCCGAGGTTTCTTTAACCGAGATTTAGCAAGTCAATCATATCGATCTTGGTAGGGAATATTCCTTTCCCACCATCATTTTAATAAACACAAATACACGCATGTGCTTGTGAAAATCATTGACAGCTTTGTTAGTAATTCATATATAGGGTTAAACATGTAATTGGCAGAATTTTACATTAAATCATATGTAGAAATGTGTTTCCTTGTTCAGATAGCGAGAAGAAGGAGAAGAAGAGAAAACACACCAACGTGTTTAATTTTGCAGTTTCAAGTACTACCAAACGAATCCCTTCTCATATGCTCATACAGCAGCCCAGTGAGCACATGTTTGAACTCCGGCTGAGCACGTGCTGTTATTTCGTGGTGGTTTATCCACAAACTGTAATAGACTGACAATTCTTTCCCTGATCAGAGGTATAGACAAATCTATCCACTGGGCTTAAGTTTTGTCATATTCTCCAGGTATAGGGAATCATGGTAACTTTACCATTCTTCCTCTTACGCACACGCGAGGGAATTCAAATTGCGGTTTGCTATGCACATGTCAGAGGAACCGAATGTCTCTCGGTAAATGGGAAATCTTTATACCTTTTGTGAAAGTAAGACGGATGACTCTATGTTACTGTGTTGGTATTAGACCGTATATTGTGTAGGTAAAGAGAAAGAATAGGCGCCATTATACTACCTTCAGTTAATAGCCTCCACACTTGGGACGTGTT